AAAAATCATTAGCATAGGAATGTCAAGATTACATTTTCAACACATTAACTTGGGGGTGGCAATTCAAACGTACCACCATTCAAAAGGTAAAAGAGCAGGAAGTGAAACAGCTCCCTGGGCCTTCAGCACCATATGATAGTAAAAGTAGAATGCAAAAAATAATATTATCTAATTCTATTTTCAATGTAGCACAAAATAAAAATTCTGCAATTGTCTTAAAGTGCATGTGAATATGCATATATATGAGGATATAAGTAGTTCTATGCAGATTTATTGCAGAGAGTAAAAATATGGAAAGTCTTATAGTGGGTTAATATGACTTCTGTATATGAGGAAGAATGGATGAAGGCCATGCTAATGCTGGGGAAGGAAAAGTGAAAAGAAAAAAGGTATGGCCTTGCTTTTAAAAATATATACAATATGATACCATTTATGTAAAAACTGTTACAGAAATTCAGAAGTCCTACCATGGTTTTAAAATTGTGGTGTAATAAATGACATACATTATATAATTCAAATGCATTGCATATTATGAACATTTAATCATTGGATAAAAATATGAAGGCTAAAGATTATTAACAAATACTAAGAATGCCATGTATCACACTACAGAACACAAAAACTCTATTTATCACTGCTAGTAATATAGCAACTCAGACAACATGAAAATCCTTTTACTATAATCACCTAGATACACTGAGTAAAATCTTGCATGATTATTTTAAATGTACAACGAGGCTCACAAATAATAAAAGCCAACCCCTAGGTGCCAGAAACAATTGGGAAAAAGAAAAAGCAGAAGAGTGAATGCTTGAGATAACAAGGGGTATTTGTCTCCAGAACCTAGGGGTTTGGGATTTAATACCCCTACATAGGCCCAGGAAATGAGGCTTTGGGCTCTAGGGGGTAGAGAATTAAACTGAGAACTTCACATAAAGCCAAGACCCTCAAAGAACTATTTTATTTATGAAAAGATTTAAAAATGAGACCACAGGGCAACTGGGCTTGGGTGGGAAAATAATAAAAGCTCTCCGAGAATTTAAAACCACAGGACTACAATTTACACTGCTTTGACTCTACCCACATAATTCAGAGACTCCAAACTAAAAAGTTACATAAGAACAGTTCCTTAAGCACTGATACCCCTTTGCCAAACAAAGACATGGAAGAAAAGCTCCCACATCCCAAATATCATGGACTGTTCCAGACATACAAACATGTAGAACAACAAAGTGCTACTAATGATGAGTTCACAATGAAAAATTACAAAGCCCACAAAAGTGAACAACCCAGACTGATCATGTGTCTGTACATAGTACAAACACATAAATAGGTTCTCCCCAGCAAATACATACAGATCATACAAGAAACACATAAAGTAACCAAAGAATAGAAAAGAATCAATCAAACTCTAAAAATAGAACTCTGTGGTGGGGAAAGATTTTTAAAAAAGAAAAAGAATAACAACAATACCCAAAACTCACATAATATATCTTGGCATAAACAATTTTCATTTATTTTTGAGATTGTAATTACATCATTTTCCCCTTCCCTATCTTATCTCCAAACCCTCCCATGTACTCCTCCTTAGCATAAATCTCTAATATCATTATGGAAATTACATAAAATTTTCATTAAAATAGGTGAACAAAATTTAGAATTATTGGGAAATATGTGTATGAGCAGGGAGAGTCACTAGAGTAAAGGCTAATTTATAAATGATGCAATTCTTACCAAAATCCAATAGCTAATTTCACAAAAATCAACAAGCTGAGTCTAATGTGTGTACAGAGGGCAAAAAATTCAAAGAGTCCAGGTGAGTACGGGGTTCATGCTACCAGAAAGCAAGAAAAGTATAAACCTGTAGTATTTAATACATGAAGCATTTGTGAGAACATAGCTCCCGAGATCAGTGGATGGTAACAAGGAGTCTAAAATGAGACTCACATGCTTGTAGGAGCTTACTATATGACAGAAGTGTCATGATAAATGAGTAAAAACAAATAAATTATTCAATAAATACCCCTAAATCACAGTGAATTAAGCAGATACATGCTTTTGGAAAGCAAAATAAAAAATAAAGAAGAAAATCTTTGGAGAACCCACTTGATTCTCATTATTCATAGTATTTTGGATCTATGCATTCTAAGTGAATACTAGATTAGAATGCTCCTTGGGGAAATATAGCATTGGGTTCTTACCAGGCTTTGGACACCATTTCTATCAACTGATCAATATACACCTGTTATACAAGTATTTCTCTTTAAATAGAATTCATTTACTGTGTATTGTCAATTCATTAACACTAAACTTATGCCAACAGTACTATTACACATTCTTGAATTAGTTTTATTTTACATATGTATTTTCTTCATAAGATACCTCACAGCTTTCTTACACTTAAGGAATATTAAGAAACACTTCATCATTAAGTTTCGTAGCCATTTTCAATAGCAAACTCTCTAAGACACACATATACACACACATGTACACGCACACACGAAAAGAATGATGCATAGTTTTTCTAGAAAGACACTTGATTATGATCTGAAAACTTAAACAAAAAGGCAGAGTGTCGCCTTGTTTGACCTCAACTGGGACCACCCATTTGACTTATTTTTTCACCATCTTTGCACATGACAATTGTACATATTGATTTAGGATTACGAATAAGTTTTAGTGAGCAGGAAAATTGGTAAATATGAGATCTGAGCATGAGGATCAGCACCTATATAGTTTTTCTAGGGTTCCAGAAAAAAACTCTGGGAATAAATAACCAAATGCTATTCACAAAATAACAAAAACATAGTCATCAGAAACTACCTGAGGCTTTAGACATTTCTCAAATCCTGCATTATCAGTCAGTTTTAAAGTTTTAATATGAGATAAGAGGAAAGGAGTTTTGTACACATAGGTTGAAGACCTCATGTTTTTCTTCATAGCTGCTGCCCAGCCCATCATGGATGGCATCATTCCTTAGTCAGAGGACTCTGAGTTACTTGAGACAGGAGAAAGCTATGTGAAAACCAGCACATGCAAGAAAGGCTGAGTATAGTCTCTTTTGTTCTTGATTGTGGTGTGATGTGAGTAGCTGTTTGATTTCCTGCCTTGACTTCCCTGAAAAGATGGACTGAGACCTGCAATTGGAAGCCAAATAAACTCTTTCCTCCACTGTGATGTTTTCAGTCAGGGTATTTTATCTCAGCAACCAAAACATTTTCATGTAGCAGTTATTTCTGTTGTTAAAATTCAGCATAAAGTTACAGGATTCTTGTGAACTTCTTTTTAAAGTTTTATGGTAAATCCATAGTTCCTATTACTTTTTAGTCCTCATTAATATGGCTAGCTTTTTAGTTTTTTATTTCAGTGCTGGGGCTCAAACCTAGTTCCTTGTGCATATTTATTTTGAACCTAATTGCACTAGATTTAGAGAATGTAATATGTTTCTCATTGATTGGTAATTGTGGACTTTTTTGTGGTCAGTTTTTATAAACGTTCCTGTGTGCTTAAAATATGTATCCATTAGAGTTGATCTTAAAAATCATTCTCCAAAAGTTGATTTGAGTTCCATAAATGTTTGCAAATGCATATGCACATCTATGTAGTATACATTTGTATACATTCACATGGCATACCAGGTTGATTAGTTAGGCTGTCCAGTCTTCCATACATTTATTTTGTATTTCCATAACAAATTGTTGACAAAAGTATATCACAAAGCTTCCTCTATCAGTTAAGCCCAGCATTGATGCAGATTTCTGTATTAACTTTAAAGCTTTGTTGTTAGATGCATATACATCTACAATTATTTTTCTTCCTGATGAATTATTCCGTTTAGCATTTAGTAATGATCTCTTTTAAGCCTTCAATAATGTTCTTTGTATTATGAACTGAAGTTCCCAAGGGGAAGGGAAAAAAAGAGCTGTACCTGTGTTAAACATTATACAAGGCCAAACGACTTAATTTTGTGATTATGGAAAATTAAAATGTTTCAGCCAAAGTCAAATTATTTTGGGATATTTTCAGTCCCTTTAAAAGCCATGCATTGCCCATTCCTAAGTTTGAAAAATTCCCTGAATTTGAGAGAGAGCAGGGGAGGGGGCGTACATGGGAGTAGTTGCAGGGAGGAAGGGAAGAGGAAACAGGGTATAATTACACTGTAATTTCAAAAATGAATGAAAAGAACACTTTAGATGAATTCTTAACAAGCCACTAGCTTCCATCAATCCACTCTAACAGTGTCATCCATAGTGTGAGGCCTATGATGAAAATTTCCACACTTTGCTCTAACTCTCATACCTGATGTTTTCATCAATGTATTGTGTTTTCGCGAATGATTTTCATTTTTCTGTCATTGTAAAACTTTACGAAAATGTTGCCATGTTTGAACATAGAAGTAGAGATTATATTTTTCTGGGCATGGCCATATATGTTTAAATAAATTATCACTCATTCTTTGAGGTGTAAGTTGCGTTTTTACATTGACAGCATTAAACCCTATCTTGTTTGATGCTAGTATTACCATCATTTAAATGATACTGTTTTCCTGCCCCAGAGGGTTTCTTTTGCTTTTCCACAAGTTTGTATATTCATTTCAAAAGATATCTGATATATTCATTCATTATTTCCAATATATGCAGCAGGCAGGCTTGTATGATCGGGTTTCTTTTTCAATCTAGAAGTTCTAAAGCTTTAAAAACAATGAAATACAGCCTTGCCCTTAGACAGAAATCAATTGTTTGTTATGCAATCAGAACAGCAGAATAAGTTGTATCGTACACATAACCAAGGCCCTGTCTTATCAGTCAGGTTGTCAGACAATATTAATTATAGGGCTCAATCTGAACACACTGACTTTGGATTTCCAACAAACATGAAAAATAGGGCTATTGATGTTGTTCTCATAGTATCTCTCAAGATTCTGATATAACCTTATCCCTGTAGGTGGTCCCCCACCATCTGAAGATCGCTGGTTATAGAATCTCCAAAAATGATTACAGTTTGATGATGGAAACATTTTATTTCAATAATGATTTAGAATTCCTCTTATCCTCATTAACTCACAGATATTACACCTAATATTTCCTCTCATGCTCAGTGGGTTCCTTTCAGTATGCTTCCAAATTGCTCTAGCCTACTGGTTAGGTATCATCTGAGATCAGCACTAGGCTCAAACGCAGTTTATCACCGGCAGTGTGTGGATCCCAACATTGGAAGTAAGTCTCATCAACTGATATCTAACCTAGTCTTATCAATAATGGTTTGCCAAAGACTGCCAACAATGCTGTGTCTGCTTGTGGTATGAATTATGGTCTACTTTACTCTACTACTATGGATTTCAAAGGTCCTGGTTAAGACTGCAATTTGGGGTCAGCTGTTTTTAAGGAGGCTGGGGGAAGTTTTTGTTTATCTTGATCAGGACGGCTCTCTGGTTTCTCATATTTATGTACTACATAGAAAGCCTTTAAAAACTCATTAAAGTCTATGCTTCCATCTTTGTTGAAGTCCATTATGCTGGCAAGCTCATCAATTTGGGAATCATCAATGTGAACATTGTAGTGAGTATTGAACAGTTTCCACATGGTCCGGAATTCATCCATGGAGATCAGACCTAAAAGGAAACAGGAAGAGGTTAAGTGCTTAATGTTAAGACCCTCCCCTGAAAGAGTATGGGACAAGCCACACTGATTGAACAGCCCCAAATACAAGTTCACTATATATGCCTGATAATCAAAGCACTGAAGCAAACAGAAGAATAAGATCACACATGGAAGAAACAGTATGTCACTTGCAACTACCAAGGATCCTGGGAATATTCTAATGCCCAAAATAGTAACCGGCAAAGAAATAGTGAGTGGATGTGGACAAAGTTCGTGTAGAAATTATAAGAACTAAATTCCAAAGGTGCAAGGCTCAGAGAAGGATGACAGAAGAGAGAGCAACATTAAAGCAGGAGAAAATACCCTGAGACTCACTAAGATGGTGTGTGTGTGTGTGTGTGTGTGTGTGTGTTTGTGTGTTTGTGTGTGTATGCAGCCCAAGCCATACTTGGCTCTAGAACCAGGCTGGCGGGAAAGCGGCTCTAGAACCAGGCTGGCAGAACGGCTCCTTCTAAAGGAAAAAGCTTCTCTTAACAGAATGGTTGTCAGAAGCGGGATTGAATTTCCACGCAAAACAACAAAAGCTTTAAAGGAATTTTAGAAACAGAAGAACGGAGAGAAGCATAGATTTCGGTAGCAGCATTTTCTCAGGTGTGCTCTGTTTTGCTAGCGACAAGTCGAGATTCACGTGGCTCGGTTACCGGAGTCTTCCTGACTCAGCATAAAAAGAAAAAGAAAAAAAAACCCAGCAAGGGTGTTTTAAGAGACTCTGCTAACGATTGAAAGGTGTGTACGTACAGCTGGAAGTGGCAGCTTTTGCTGGAGGTCAGCATGGACTGAGGAGGTAAGCTGCAGTCACGCTTACGCCCGCCATCTTGAAACGGCAGTTTAAAACAGCCGCGGTTTTACAGATAAGACACGTGGCCAGAAAAACATAAAGATTTACAGTAAAGTCAGACTTGGATAAAGAAAAACTTCTAAAGGTTTACAGTGTGTTTAAAAATATACGTGAGATTGAGAGAGAAAATGAAACGGCAAAGTGGTATATAAATACAAAAGCCGGCGTTGTGGTGGCGCACGCCGGTAGGATTGCTCCAGAGGCAGAGGCAGGCAGGTTTCCAAAGAGAAACCCTGTCTCAGAGAAAAATAAATAAAAGTGAAAGAAATAAAGTAATCATAGATAAATAAATAAGCCACGTAAAGATGGAAAATACACAGACAGTCTGGATACTGTACGCTATTATGTTTTTCAGTTTTTTCATTGCTAAGGAAGGAACAGCTACTGAAGTACACTTGATTATAAATGCTGCTGAATTAATCCAACTTCTATCTTTTGAAAATGCCTTGACTTCAAAATTTAAGTATAAGGATATGTTACTTGGAAAAGGAGTTTTAATTTATGTTTCCACAGAACATAAAAAGCTGAGGATTTCTTCCAGACTTCTGTGGTTTGACGAACCAAGACCCCCGGAAGCAGTGGACCAGGTGTTCCAACAATCGAAACAGCGAAGATGATGCAGTCTTACAGACCCCGAAAATATGGACTTATACAGGTTTCTGAGTTTTGTCATGATCCCCATGGTGTGAACAGCGCCCCCTTCCAGCAGGAAGCAGTTTGGAATGAGCGACGTCCCAATTCCCATCTTGTTTATAAATCTTTGTTTTCATTTAAATGGGATTGTTTATAATTGGCTAGTGATCACAGCCAATCTTTTTTAATGGTAAAAAGGGGAATTATGGTATGGGTATTGTTTTTCATTTATTGAGACAAAATCAAGGTCAATTTTGTGATGTGTATATTTCTCCTCTTGATTAAGTATTGTGCTTATACTGATCTTTTACAACGTAATGCATAATTGAATACAGACTATAGATAGGTACTTATAATAGAATTTCTAGTTACATAAGTTAGGTTTCTAGATATACAGAAATATATTTGAGATGGACAGTCTTCAAACCTCTCAAAGACCTTCAGAACATGGCATTTAAAATGGTTTAGGGTTTGTCTTGACAACGAGAAATGTCTGATCCTGGCAGCACCAATTACGTCTGAGAGGAAGATGGGCATCGAAGAAACTCGTTATAAAGTTTGCTTTCAACATGGCAAGATTAGCCATTTGGGCAAGAAACTACTCTTGCCTAGATTGTTTGACTGTTGTTGTATCATCTGGACATGCAGGACCCACAGGAAAGTGACTACTGAACTCAGTCTTACAGGGTTCCTGCTTGATGAAGAGTCTACGAGACTTTCTGCAGGACAAAGAAAAATGACTGACAGACTGCCAACGCAGATAGACAGTTTGAAATTTCCTGCTTTGCTGAGAAGTGTTCCAGACACATTGTGGCCTATGGGCTGAAGATGGATGCCCCAACGTTACAGAGGAACTTTGGGTGACTGTCCAGGCAGTAAGATGTCTCTGTCAATCCTAGTGTTTATATATTATCCTTCTGTGGTCTTTGATGGAGTTAAAGACAGATAGTTATAATTATAGTTTTCCTTAGTTATGATAAAAGATAAGCTACATATAGGACTTTGGACTCACAAGGATGGGATGGATGATATTTTCTTTAAATCTTGCTAAAATATTGTAACTATGTTCTTACTTGATAACTGTTCTGTCATATACAATTTTACTATGTTAAAATTAAGACCTTTCTTTTGTTTAAACAGAAAAGAGGAGATGTTGGGGAAGTCCTGTTATTTGCCTGTGCATTTGTTAATAAAGTACTGTCTGGCCAATAGAAAACCTAGATAGGAGGGACTAGGAGTCAAGGAGGATTCTGGGAGGGGAAACAAAGAGAGTCGACATGTAACCGCATGGGGTAGGAAGCCCGGGACTATTCTCCGGTAAGAAACATACTTAGATTAACAATTATGGGGTAATTACTTAAGGCAGAGCTAGCCAGTAAGAGACAAACAAGGCCAACAGCTTCATAATTAATATAGCCTCCTGTGTGTTTATTTGGGACTGATATGGCTCTAGAACCAGGCTGGCGGGAAAGCGGCTCTAGAACCAGGCTGGCAGAACGGCTCCTTCTAAAGGAAAAAGCTTCTCTTAACACATACTGAATATGCTGAGGTCAGAGGAAAACTGGAGAGAGTCAATTCCTCCTTCCACCCTTCTACCCCATGAGTCTTAGGGATTGAATTCAAATCATCATGGTCAGCAGTGAGCACCTTTGCCTGATGACTCATCTCATAAACCCACTGTTGCTGTTTTTATACGCAATAATCTACTTCCATGGTTCACTATTTGTAACACTATAAATCAAAGGACCCAGATACAGGTATTAGGGTTCAAACTTCAAGCTGAAGAACAGAAAAGCCATGAACGTAGTGGGACACTAGTTCAGGCTGAATGGGCTGATCCTGCTGACTCTCCTCAGCAAGGCTGGAGAATCCTGAGACTTCAATGTCTTCCTATCCTCACTGTGACTGGAAAATGAATGCCTGATACTGAGACCTTCCTACTGTCTTATATATCTCACTAATGCTGGAATTAAAGGCATGTGACCCCAGGTGCTGAGATCATCTTTGTGTGAGCTGTTTCTCTTTAGGACTGGATGAATCTTGTGTAGATCTGGGTGGCCTTGGACTCACAGAGATCTGTCTACCTCTTAATCCTGAGTCCTAGGATTAAAGGTGTATGCAACCACCTCATACCTTCTGGCTGCTGGGATTAAAGGTGTGTATCACCACTGCCTAATCTCTATAGCTTGTGGCTGACTTTGCTTTCTGAATCCTCAGGTAAGGTTTAATAAATAATATATCATCACAACTATTGATACTTTTTCATACTCAGGTGTCTCTGCACAGAGGTTGGGGTGGAGGCAGTGTGCTGAGGATGGCACCCAGAGCCTCATACACAACAGGCAATCTCTAAAACTGAGCTATAGTCCCAGATCTGCATTTTTAAAGTTAGAAAATAATCATATATCAAAGCTAAATCAAAACCAAGTTTTCAATACCTTAAACAAAATTAGAACTCTTTTTCATATTAACTAAGCCTTGTGGCTAAGACCAAGTGAAAGTGAGCTGTATTTCTCATCTTTGCTGGTGGTTTATATAAAGGAGCTATTCCTGTGAGACCAATGACTACAATGGCTTCTGTAGAATTTGTGGCCAAACATAATTACCAATAATATTAAATACTAGCTTATTTTTTCTCTTCACATTCCCCCAAGTTTGGATGAAGAATGAAATCGATGAAAACTGAGTCCTGAGTTCAAATAAACAAACTAGCCTTTGCTTTGTATTATTCCTGAACCAATCGAACTTCAGTATTACCCCTGAATCAATCAACACTCAGTGTTAGTCCTGAAACAATCAATGCTCACTTACCTGAGTGATCAGTGTCAATGACATTAAATATGATTTTCAGGTCAGATCGGTATCTGTACAGAGTTTCAATTAGACTAGATTTCATCTAGGATTAACAATACAGATTAATTTTAGCAAATGTAACAAATACAGAATAACCTAGCAAATTCTTTTTCCTTTCTTTCTATCTTTTTATGGAGCCAAGGGATAAAGCCAGGGACTTATATGCATGCTAGGCAAGTGCTTTAGCACTGAACTAGGTCTTAAGACCACGAATTGGTATCTGAGAAAGCAAGCCATCCCTTGGTCTAAGCACTTTGAGTCAGATTAAAGACTTGCTCATGTGTTCTACAGGGGCAAAGAGTCAATAAAACAGCAGGAAATAACAATTGCAAATCTATGGAAAGTTCTACAGGATTGCTCCATTTCACCTTCTATGATCTTAAAAGGAACAGAAAACAAAGAGATACAGCAATTTTCCCAGAGGTAAGGTAGCTACTGAGTGATATTTAGATCTTAGCCCCTCTGTGCTAAGGCTTTTGATTTGAATCACTGTGGTAAGCTGTCTCTACCATCCAAGGCCTTCTTTCCATGGATATTTTTCCCATCTAGCCTACGTGTTCTCTCTGTTCTTCTCATCTTTCCTGAAAATGATCACCTAAGTCTTAGTTCCCATCAGCTCAGTGTTATAACTAATTATTCATGAATTGCTAACTAGTTAGATGGAATCTGATCAGTATCCTTGTGGTACTGTCATTTTAATAAGATATTTTATATCTTTTAACACTTTAAGGCACATTCTAGGGTATGTCAGCAAGTCTGTACATGTGTGTTGAGTATTTGAATGGTATTTTTTCTGAGAGAATGTTATGTTGTTGTATCTGCCCTTTTACTGGACAGAACTTTAAAATAACAATGTCAGATTTTACGTACATTTGCTTACAAACCTTTTGCTTTTTTGTGTGTTCTAAAGAGAATACACATATTTCCCAACCTCCTCACCATATTCCTTGGAGATTCCCTTTTGGCCTTCCTAAGACTGTCATTCTCAATCATTAGATAATTCCACTCCCTACTTTTGAAAGCACTAAGTTGCCTAGAGGTTGCCCAAGGGGTGTTTCGAGTGAACCCAATTTTTAGCTGTAACTAATATGTCACTCACCTCTTTCACAGGTTTTTCAATGTGGACATCCTCAAAGCTGGACATGTAGTCAACATTTCCATCATGATCTATGTTTACTAGGTGTGAACTCAGAGATCTCCATGGTAAGTTCAGCCCCAAAATGCTCTCCATAGAAAAAGCCCACTGGGCCAATGAAATCCTCCCTAACAGCAACAACAAAAGCCCACAGATTGGTATATAATTTGACAAAAGAAAGGCGCAAGCTCTTTCGAAGAGCTAGTGGCAGCCTGGATTTTGAGACCTGAGGGCCCATGTTCTCCTTTATGATCTATCTGACCAGGCCCCAAAGTCTTGAGGGAAGAATAAGTAAAGAAAGTTTTTATTCTATAAATCTTACTGTCACATGAAAGAAATTCCACTTGTAGCCAGGCAGGCAATTGGAAGGCAGAGGCAGGCAGATCTCTGAATTCAAGATCAATCTGGACATCCAGGACTATACAGAGAAACCCTATCTTGAAACCCTCTCCCAAAAAAAAGAAAGAAAAAAGAAAGATCTTTTTCCCTTTATCTAATACACAAAGTAAGGTATTACAGAAGATTTGAAAACATAGAAGAAAAATTTACTTTCATTTTAACATTTTAGCATATCATTCACCTATTTTTCCCAACTATTGTTTTTATTTACTATTATATTGTAATTTGTCAAACTACAGATTATTTTTATTTTTCCTAATTATTGAAGATATATATTCATTGAAGCAACTTTTTATTGGGATCAAACCTAGTATACACAATAGGCAAGCACTCTACCACCAATCTATATTGCCAACCCCTGACTTTTGAGACAGTCTCAATAATGTAACTCAGGCTAGCCTTGAACTCGCTATATAGCCCAAACTGGCTTGAAACTTGTAACCTTCTTTTTATCCTTTTTGACAGGTATGAGCCACCACGCCCAGCACTTAAATGATTTTGAATTAACAATTTTATTATTTCTAGTCTTTTTGCTAAGCATGTAAGTACTTACACATAAATACATATAGTCTTTTCATTTTTAGACTTATTTTATGTGTGTGACTGTTTTGCCTGCATGTATGTCTGAGCATCATATGTGTATAATGCCCATACTTTGAATACAATATGTAGCTGAAGTGGCCTTCAACTCTTCATCCTGTTGCCTCTGCCTCCCCAGTGCTAGGATTACAGGCATGAGCCACCATATTCAACATTTATTCTTCATTGTCTAAATGGTTTGACAAACCATGAAACCAGGTCTCAGGATGCAGCTCAGTTGGTAGAATGCTTGTCTAGAATTTACAGAGCCCTGAGTTCAATGCCCATACCACATATCTGACATGGTAGCATAAATTGTAATCTCAGTACATAGGAGTTGTAGGCAGGAGAAACAAAAATTCAGGCATTCATTCTCAGCTACAGGGAGAGTTTGAGCCCAGATTGTTTTAGAGATCTTGTCTCAAAGTTTTTAAAATAAAATAACACTAAACCATAAAAACAGGATAAAATGTATTATTTTTTTTCTCATGACAGGGCTTCTCTGTAGCTTTGGAGCCTGTCCTGGATCTCACTCTGTAGACCAGGCTGGCCTCAAACTCACAGAGATCCACCTGCCTCTGCCTCCCGAATGCTGGGATTTAAGGCATGAGCCACTACTGCCCAGCCAAATAATTGTTTTTAAGTGAATTATAGGGTATCTTTATTGAAATAATGAATTACGCTGACTGGGTTTTGAATGACAAAACAACTTGGAATTGCTAGTATTCACAGCAAAAGTCAAACTTGGTGTTGATATTCTAATATTTGACTATTTCATTCATTTTTCATATAAACTTATCAATAAGATCAGCCCTTAATTGTCCTTCTCCATATCATTGTTAGGGTTAAACACAAAGGTTATGTTGACCTCCTAAAATATTCTGTCACTATTTTCCAGAAGAGGCAGTGGAAGTGTTTCCGTGTTGTCTTCAATGCCTTCTGTAAAGCTGAGTGGAGCTTTCTGAAAGCAGGGCTTTCTTATAGAAACTTTCCAATTTTCTATTCAGTTTCTTTAACAGTTACAGAGTCATTAAGACTTTTGGTTTATTTATGTATGTTTAGTGTGTGTGTATATAGATGTATATATTGTAGGAATGTATTCATTTGATGTGAAGTTTTAAGTTATTGCTACATAGATTTTCATAATGTATCTTATTATCTTGGTGCTTATAAATCCTATAATGATATCTTTCTATCTGACTATTGGTTATTTGTACTTGAATGTGTGTTCTCTAATTTGTGTGCTTACTTGCTCTTCTCTTTCTGTATTCATTTTATCAAGTTTACCAGTTTCTTCAAAGAACTATTTTTTATTAGTTGATAACAGATTCATCTTTTAAAATCGATACATTCAAATTGTATTCTGTAAACTTTACATGGTAAATTTCCATTGTCATTCACCTTGAATATTTTAATTTCTACTGTTATTTTTTCTTTTGTTCAAAGATTATTCAGAAGTACATTTCTCATTTCCAAAAGTATATGTGTGTGTCCCTGTGTCCATGTACGTGTTCGTGTGTGTGTGTGTGTGTGTGTGTGTGTGTGTGTGTGTGTGTGTGTGTGTGTGTATTTGGTTATATATCACAGGCTGGCGCCAAACTCACAATTCTCTTGCCTCTGCCTTGAATGTTGGGATTACAGGCATATGCCATCAAAAGTGATTTTTATAGTTAGATTATATTGAGCTGTAGCACTACACACAATGTCAGGGTATTATCTTTGGTCTGTCTCTTTTAGTTACTGAGGGAGGAGTGTTAAAAATCTCCCACTATGATGGCAGAGTTTTCTACTTCTGCTCATTGCTCTGTCAGTGTTGTTTTATATACTTTGAGGCTGTGTCAGTAGGAACATAAACATGTAGAACAAATTTGACTGGTAAATTAAATGTTTGCTATCATGAAGTGTCCTTTTTCATGTCTAGTAACATATATTTCCTCAGAGTCTATTTTGTTTGCTATTAACAGAGTAGTTCCAGCTGTGTTTCTGTTAATGTTTTCATGTTATTTTTCTAAATATAACTTTCAATCTTCATATATGTGTTCCAGTATCTACTGGCTTTTTTCCTCAGTTACTGATTAGTGTATAGGTCTAACTGCTGTGTCTTTGTAGCAATGTGTTTCCTCTCTGCCTGCATTTGAATGTCTTCTTTCCTATTAGTGCTCTGTAGCTTCATTACAAGTGAATGCAAGTGCAAATTTATTTAATTTGTCCTGTTTGAGAATCATTGTTCCTCTTTATTTCTAGGAGGCTGTCATCCATTCTGGAAGAGTTGCAGACATTTTCATGTTAAATATAGCCTGCCTCCCTTACAAGTCTCTTCCTTCTGGTATCCTGATATATGTTAGACTTTGAAACAGACTGCATGTTTGTTGAACATTCTCCTTTTGCTGTCCATAGCAATTTTTTTGAGACAGGGTGTGACTACATAGCACAAACTTGCCTTGGGGTTACTGTGCAGTTTAGGCTAGCCTTGAAGTTGCTATCTCTCAATCTAATTCTTGAGGATAATCTTCTCTTTAGCACATTCATTATGAACAGTCTCTTTCTCTCTCTCTCTTGGGTTTTTTTTTTTTGAGACAAAGTCTCATGTAGCCAAGCTGGCCTCAAATTCCTGCCACCACCACCACCCAAGTGCTGGCATTACAGGTATGCAGCACCAGCTCTGTTTCCTCTTTATTTTAACAAACATAGGGTTATAACTATTAGATACTTCTTCAAACCATATCATATTTCAAATCTTTCAAACACACATATGTGGCTCTCATTTGTTCCTTTCTTAGACATTTTATATTTTGCATTTGACAATTCCAACAGCTGATTTCCATGGGCAAACTAGCTGTGTTATTTTCTGGTTTTCATTTTTTGTGTTGTTGACTCTTAGTCATCATCATAGCTCACCTCATTTGTTTAGTAGTCAGTCCTTAATTGCAAGCTCATACTAATTGATGCTAACCTCTGAATGTACCAGTGGCTACAATTAAGGATGTTTTTCTCAAGGATGCAGCTGGGAACACTATTTAGCCACTTTGAAGGTACCGAAACCCAAAAGTCATTTTTTTTTCTCTTTCTATCACGCTAGAATTTTGTGCCAGAATGGTTGCTAGAGCAACATTAGCTTTCATACCAGGACAGTCTAGCATTTGGTGCTTGATGCTCCAGGCTTCCATGTGTGATTCAAATAATCTTTTTGTTATGACTTTTTAAAAACAGGATCTCTCTGTGTAGCCCAAACTGGCCTCAACTCATAATTCTTCTGCCTTTGCCTCAACCTGGGAATCACAGGCCTATGCCTTTATACCAGGCAGAAAAGATTGTTCAAAAGAATTGCAGTCCTGAGACTAAGATACTGTGAGGCTGACAAACACATTGCAATTCTGCATCTTCCAGCATCTGTTTCTTCACAGGCAACCAGAAGAGAAGTCTAATTCAGGGTTTTTAGTATTCTGAGTTCAACGAAGCTTACTGAAAAGGAGATATATTTTGATAGTTTTCAGTGAATAATGGATTCTTTATTTACTAGCAATCCTTTCTAGCAATAAAGAACTAAAACCTATCCAAGAAAACCTACTCTGTATATAGCCAGATATGTTGAGAAATGGTAAACAATTTCTTACCTGATCTGCTGTAGTCTCGGAGCTGGAAAGCATTGGTGAGATCAGTTTTTCGTGAAAGCATTCTTTCTTTTAATATCCTGAAGGCATTGAATTCCATAGTATTCACCCTGTTTTAAGAAAACAGCATTTCAGTGAAACTTCATAAATCATTTTGTTCTACTTAATTTTAATGTGCTATGTTACCACATACCAGTTTCCACTTTGAATAAATTGTATTCATAAATACTATATTGTTAGATGGTAAATGTAGCATATTTGTGTGTGCATTTTGGAGATTTGGTAAACATTCGAAAGATTATTATTATTTGTGTATTGTTCCTTTTTCATTTCTTGACATTTTATGTTTTGTATTTGACAACTTGATGTGGTGAGGGGGTTGTGTGCTGTTCATGTGTGTAGCTCAGAGGACAACTTCGTGGAGCTGGTTCTCCCTTGTACCTTTATCTATGTTCCAGGGCCCGCTCAAACACAAGACACTACGTTTGCACAGCAGGTATTTTTACCTGCTGAGCTGTCTTGAGAACCTGAGAGCTTAAACTAGCCTACAATCCAAAATCCTCCTGCCTCTGACTTCCATGTGCTGGGATTACATGCATGCACCAGCATGTTCAGCCATTTGTTTTATATGTTGTATTTCATTTATGACCCAGCGTCACAGTCTCAGCAATTACAACAGCCACACATAGTGTTTTCCTGCATTTTCTTTTTGAAGATTACAGATAGAGTTCTCTGGAATTTGAAAGATTCATGTGAATAATTACTTGAAAGCAGGAACTTGTAATATGAGATATTGAAATTCACTGTTACATCAGTGCTGCGGAACAATCTTTTTGTACACTGAGAATATTTGGTGCTCTTGTTGGTCTAATAAAGGTCTGAATGCCCAATAGCTGGGCAGGTAGAGGTTAGGCAGGACTTAAGGGAAAAAAGAGAGCATGGGGGGAGGGAGGGTTGAGTCACCAGGAGACACAGGGAGAAGCAAGATGAATATGCCATGCTGAAAAAAGGTAGCACCATGTGGTAGAGAGTAGATAAGAATTATGGGTTAAGTTGTAAGAGTTAGTTAGTAACAAGTCTGAGCTATCAGTCAAGCATTTATAATTAATATTATGTCTCTGTGCGTTTACTGGGAAACCAGAGGTCCTGATGGAAAACTCTACCTACACATTAGTGGAACAAAATGGGTTCTGAATGTGATAAAAGAAGACATGCACATGAGTGAAACATAACAGGATCTTCAAAAAATAAATCCAACTGTTATGAGAGCACATACGGCAACAGAGGAATAGTGTAATTCAGTAGAAAAGACAACCTTGATTGATGTTAGATGCTACAACACTTAGTTAACTGCGTTAACATTTGAAGGAGGAACAGAACAGTCCTGAGATACAGACGTCTTCAGTGTTCACTGAGTAATGATTCTAGGATGCAAAAATTGATTTTAAAAATCTAAAACTTCTCTCTAGTACAGTCAGGGCTACACAGAGAAACCCTGTCTTAAAATACAACAAACAAACAAAAGATAGATTTTCAGAAACTAATTTTGCCATGTGGTCATTGCTGGGCTTATCATTTAGGTTTTGTGAAGGAAATAATCTGGTTTCATTGTGACTTTTGTTCTTAAGGAAGCAGACTCTCACTTCTTTCCTAACTTAAAGCCATGTTGAGGGGCTCCACCCCTAGTTCCTGGGTTAAAGTGAATTAACCCCTATGTTGGAGCATAGGAATCTGTTATTTGAAAACAATGATGATACCATTTATAAAGATGTGTAGTACCCATGTTCTGTCTGTTAAAAAAACTATCTACCTATGGGAAGTCATCTTGACACATTGTTTCTGGTTTGGTCAGTCATTTGTCTAACTATGTATGCAAGGTGCATTCTGGCTGAGCCTGAATTACACTGTGGATACATATATGTGTTTACATGCTATTAGACAGAAGGCACTGTACAGAGGAGTGTTGCTCTCAAGCAGTATTTGCAAAACATACAAACTTCTATATCTGAAAAAATAAAACAGGTTCTTGTTGCTATATGGCATTCACATAAAAAGTTCCAAGGGTTCACAATTTCCTTAAACAAACTGACAATATATTTGCATATAACTGATATACAACTTCCTATATACTTTAATTTATAGATTAACTAATTTAATACAAATAGGTGGTATATCATACTATTTGGGGGATATGATAAGAAAAATGCTTGTACATTTTCAGAACAGACTCTTTTCAAAAATGTTTTCACTGTGGAGCCCACTAATACAAAGTGTATCAAAAACATAAAACGGCAGATGCAAATACAATCATATGAATAATTGCAGCATATGTAAATAAATTAAGTAATCAACTAAAAAAGACAGAGATTATGAGACTCAAATGAGGTTTCGAATGAAGAGTGTCATGCTAATAGGAGACAAAACAGACATTAGATGAAAACTGTACCAGAAACTGAAACTAGAAACTGTAACTGAGAACTAGAGGTAAAGGCAGGTAATTCTTAATGATGGAGGGTAATGAACCTAACAGCAGAACCTAAAACTACATGAAGCACAAACTAAAAGAATTAAAGAAACAGATGACTCAATAATGATTGCTAGGAACTTCACTGGCAGAGCTGCTCTTAGTCACCTGGGACTGGTTCTACTTGGTCACAAATATAGTCCTTAATCCCACATGATCACAAATACAGTCCTTAGTATTTTCAGAGCTATATACCTTTGGTGAAGAGGGCTCAGGCATGATGTACTAGTTACTTGGTACTGGAAAAATTTTGGAGTTGAACCATAACTTAGTCTGATGTAAGCTCCCCGGTTGCTGCCTTCTTCATAATAGTTAGAAGCAGAAAATACAGTAATGACCTGATTAAAGAAAAAGAGGATCAGGTTCATTAAGTTAATTCTCAAAAGGTCATTCAATAAAATCCAGAAATAGCTCAATTCTCAAAAAAGCCCCTCATAATCTCTGCAAATTATCTGGGTCTGACATCATTTCATATGATTCCCTTGAAGGAAAAGAAAAGTTTCAGTCATTGTCTCCAGTACTAACTCCTATCTTTTTATCTAGTATACCAGGGTATGACCCTGAACTCCCACACACTATTGTAGTGGAAGATCTTAGAATACTCTTTAATGTTTACTTTCATAAATTCTGATTTTCCATGAAGATAAATCCCATAGTTCCGTTCCCTGTGATGTTCAAAGGTTCAAAATAAAATTTGGTTAGAAGCTCATTCTTTCTCTTTTGCACAAAGATGAGTGATTTAGAGGGTTCAGAGTTGCACAACACCAATGTTTTAAGAGCAGAGACATGATGGGGCTATGGCTACTACCTTAGGAAGAAATCAGCCTTGCAGGCATGGTAGGTACATTATAGAAACATAATACTTGCTGCTGACAGGAAATCTGGCTTAATCTAGTTTTGGTCTAAAAAGGATGTCACTTCAGATGAACCATTGCTATTTTCTAAATAATACTTGTCTTATTCATCTTGCAGTGTTAGTATGAGCCAAAAATGAATTAATAAAGTTAAGAACATCAAAGTATTGGGATAGAAGGAAATGTCAAAGGGCTCCATATTCATTATTACTTATTTTTATTCACTATGGAGAGCAAAAGAAGCAGTTTCTTAGTACTCACCTCTTCTAGCATTATTGACACAACTAAAGGAGAAAAAGATACTCCATTTTCATGACAGTAGCTAAACTGACCACAGTAAGCAACTTGCTAGTGATCACCTCCTCAGTGAGTTGAAAGAAGTGTGCTGTGTGTTTTCTGTCCTATACAGGGAATGTGTAAAAGAAGAAAGAGAGAAAATGGGATTGTACATACTTTTTAATGAGAAGTGCAGTCTGTGGGAAATGCCACTGTGCATTATGAGGATTGGCTTACACTTAGCAAAAAAAAATGAAGTAGGTGTGCACATGTGTGTGTGTTTGTGTGTGTGTGTGTGTGAGAGAGAGGGGGGGGATACTTAGTGTCACTTATGGTTTAAAGTAATGTATTTGGGTATTGGTTGGAAAATGGTACACTTGTGATGGTTAATTTTGTCAATTTGATCAGATTACTGAGCAGAGCATAATTATGGGTATGTCTGTGAGGACTTTTCTGGAGAGGATTAATAGAGGAGGGAAGATTTCTCCTGAATATAGATGATGCCATTACTTAGGATGGGGTCCTGGACAGAACAAAAAGGGGAAAAGGGAGAAAAGGATGGTGTATGCCTTTAATCACAGCACTCAGGAGGCAGAGGCAGGCAGATCTCTGTCTATAGACTGAGCCAGGGCTTCATAGAGAAGCCCTTTCTCAAAAAAACAAAAAGTGTGTCTGTGCGGGGGAGAATGTCAGCTGAGTACCAGCATCTCTCTTTACTTCCTGGTCATCTGAGATGTGAGAAGCAGCCTTCCACCATATCTTCTCCATCATGTGACTATACACTCAAATTGTGAGTCAAAATATAACCTTCTTTCCTTAAGCTGCTTCTTGTCACTTGGTTATAACAATGAGAAGAGTAACTAATGCAATCATACATCAGAATTTCTGATCCTGGGAGTTGTGAAGATTGAGGAGTAAAGTAATTATTTCTAAGGATAAGAGAGTGTGAAGCCCCTTCAGTCTTTGTTTTCTGTTTGGGAGTAGTGAAGACATCACATGGCCTTTTAGGGAGGACAACACTGTGCAGAGAAGACAAGGCTTGTGGCAAGGATGTCTATGAGAATTTCAGCCATGATGCCAGCTCACCTTTCCATCATGGCAGATTTCATATCCGTCAGGTTTGCACTCATGAGACCTAATGAGCATCTTCAATTGGTTTTTATTAAGAATCTTTGAGGTAACGTCTGGTCCAAAATAGCAGCCCCCTCCTCGGCTTGTATTTGGATAACAGCCTTTTCTGCCTCTGGGGTCACTCCACAGAAGGTCAATAATCTTGGAACAATAAAAAAATTAGGCTTCTACTTACAAGTAACGGTCTATCATCTTTTTTTCTATTCCAACTTATTTGGCAGAAATATTAAAGGTATCTGGTGATACAGACATGAACCACCATGCCTGGCTACATGTAGAAGAGAAAGTAGTGCCTACCAATGAACACATATTAGGTGTTCTTAGTATATTAAAAGAGATTAGATGGATCTCCCACCCATTGGTCCAGGTTTTTTCTCTATTGAACTTATTACAGAGGCCTAATATATGTTTATTGGAAGGAACTACATTCTCTTATGAATTTAGCCAGGCATGGTGGTTCATTTTTCCCCAAGAACATCCCCAAAGCTTCTTTGACCATTTTTCCCCATAAGAACATTCTCCAATTCAGCAGTATGTTCATCCATTGACTAGATTCCAACAGGTCTTCTAAACACACAAAGATGATTTTTCAGTTTAATATTTCCTTTGGTGAGTGGAAGAAGTAAATCCAGGTCACACATTATCCAGGACTGAAGACTCAAATTTCTAATAATGTTTTCACAGAAAATCAGAGGCCATGGAGTCTCTAGTCTACATCTAATATTGCACTCAATTTTTTAAACTACTAACAAGTACTTAAGAAAATAGTTTAAAAAACAACCAAAAAACAGAAGAATCTTTATCACTAAAGACAGTGACAACCTTGAGGAAACTGTGTCTCACTTTGGAAATCCCTCAATCAGGTATTTGGGTCAATTAACTTGCAAAGTATGTCAGGGTTCTAATAGACAACAATTCTTTTTTCTTTTGGTTTTTCAGGGTTTCTCTGTATTGTTTTGTGGGCTATCTGGTCTCGAACTCACAGAGATCCGCCTGCCTCTGCCTCCCGAGTGCTGGGATTAAAGGCGTGTGCCACCAATGCCCGACTAGACAACAATTCTTTTTTTTTATGATTTTTTATTCTTTTTTTAAATTTAGATAAGAAACAAGGTTGCTTCACAAGTCAGTTCCAGGTCCCTCTCCTTTTCCCTCCCCTCCTCCCGTGCCCTCCCCCATCCCCCCCCCGTTATCCCCTCATTCCCCCAGGGAGGGTGAGGCCCTCCATGGGGGTGTCCATAGTCTGTCATTTCATATAGGGCAGGGCCTAGACCCTTCCCCAAGAGTTCAGGGTGAGAGTGCACCTCACATTGTTCTATGGGAGTCCAAAGTCCGTGTGTATACTTGGTATGGGTACTGATCTGCTGCCCAAGGCTCAATAGATTACCTAGGCCTCCTCACTGACACCCAGATTCAGGGGGTCTTGATCAGTCCCATGCTGGGTTCCCAGGCTGATGCCTGGGATTCAAGAGTTAACCTTTGTCTGGTCAGCTGTTTCTGGGGGTTAAACCAGCCCAGTCTTAATCCCTTTGATCATCAGTCCTCCCTCTCTGATACTGGCTTTCTTGAGTTAAAGTCTAGTATTTTCCATAATTTCTCTGTTGTTCCTATGTGTGCATAGAATTGAATCCAGGGCCTCATGTAGGTTAGGCCAATGTAATATTTCTGAGCCACACCCGCAACCACTCCACATCTACATATTCCTTTGGAGAAAAAACACACAACTGTAATTTTCTATGTGTGTAGAAGCCAGGTCTATATCAGGTGTCTTCCTCAACTATTCTCCTCTATCACTAATCCATAGCTTAGCAATTTAGTTGGACTGATTGGCCAATGAGCCCCAGCAATCCACCTGTTTTGTATTCCCAAGTGTTGGGATTACAGTTGAGTAATGCCACAGCTAACTTTCATGCCAGTGCTGGGGATATGAACTTAGGACCTCATGGTTGCATGCCAAGCACTTTACTGACCGAGCCATCTTATCAGGTACCTTCAATTGAAAATCTCTAGTTATTCTAGGAAGTTCAAATCAGGTCTTGAGAAGAAGTCCAGATACTGCTGTTCCACTAAACTGGACTGTGCAACCATTTATAGGTTTGATATAAAGGGAGACCTGGAGATAAATGAGAGATAGAGAGGACAGAGTGGCAGAAAGAAGAGCAAAAGTAGAAGAACAATTCTGAAATGACCGGTACCTAGTCAGAACTAGAGACACTCTGTACCAAGTTCAGACCAGTCAGAGTTTTGATGACTAGTTGAGGTGAGAATTTAAATCTTAAAGAAGGGCTGGAGAAATGGCTTAGAGGTTAAGAGTACTGACTGCTCTTCCAGAGGTCCTGAGTTCAATTCCCAGGTGGCTTACAACCATCTGTAATGAGATCTGGTGTTCTCTTCTGGCCTGCAGGCATACATGCAGTCAGAATACTGTATACATAATAATAATAGAAGGTGATTTTGTTAGGAAAGGATTAAATTTTCAATTCCTATATGAGCATAGTAGTTTATATGTAAAATTTTACTCTGGGAAGCATCCTAACTTACTCTTGATGTATATATTATACATTATTTTATATATATAACCCTACATAGGAATATAAATAGGAAAATATTTTGCATATGATAATGAATGGACATTCCATGATAAACTATATGAAAGTAAACTTTCATAGCATCTTTTTTCTTCCTTTTTACCACTACTACCAATAATCAAAGTTTTCAAAAAGTAAATGTACATATGAGAGGAACATGGAGGCATATGCTATAGGGAGGCAGAGGCAGAAGGATTACAAATTCCAGGCCAACCTGAACTATGCGGCAAGTCCCTATCTCAAAAAAACTAAAGACTAGCATGTATAGTGTAATATTAGAGTGCTTGCCTAGCCTATACAAAGCTTGTGTTTAATCTCTAGCACTATAAAAAATACAAGTAACATTATATAGACTAAGCAGGATATAGCAATGTTTAGGTCATAGATAGATACATAGACCTAAAGCAGTGGTTCTCAATCTGTGGATTGTGACTCCTTTGGATGGTTGAACAACCCTTTCAAGGAGGTATACTAAGACAATTGGAAAATACAGATATTTTCATTGTAATTCATAACAATGGCAAAATTACAGTTATGAAGTAGTAATGAAAATAATTTTATGGTTGGGGGTCACCACAACATGAGGGACTGTATTCACAGGTTGCAGTATTAGGAAGGTAGAGAACCACTGAATTAAAGGAAAAGAAGCTATGAATTCAAATGAAAGCAATGGGTCCATGAGAGGTGTTTGAGGAAGGAAAGGGACAGAGTAAATGATGTTATGATCTTAAAAACTTTAAATAATTTAAAAATACATATTGCTGGAACTCCATTGAAGCAGAATAAGTACCAGCCAAAGGCTTCTTTTTCGGCAGTTATCTGTGTTACTTTGGGTAAGTCACTTTACTTATTTGAGTCTTTGTCATTATCAACAAAACAATGAAGTATCTATTATTAATTTTTCATTGACTTAAAATCACAAGAGCTAATGGTTTTAAGAAATGAGTTTCTTTTTCAGAATCCATTCCATGAGTTCTAGGTTTCTTTTTTCAGTCTAGAAATATACTAAATACACTAGAAATATAGATGAGAAAATGATCTATTGTGCTTACAAAAGTGAAGTCATTTTAACCTGTATTTTGTAAGGTACAACATCATCACTGTTGATGAGTTGATGTTACCCAGCTGGTGGAGATTTTGGTTACTTACTTGTTCCCATTCATGCTTTGTTAACTGTTCTGAAGGGAAATTGTCTGATTCAGCCTTCCCAGGTGTAGCAATGCTTGACCCTGTTTTATTTTTCTTTATGTTAACGTCATATTCTCGATTTATTGACATTGGTGGCATTAACACAGATCTCATCTGTAAAACGTAGAATCATGCTTTAGTTAAATACTGTATGCAGTCACTTCAGTTCTAGTTGGGAATTTGTCTATACAGTGAATCAACTTTGAAAAATATTCATTCCCCTTTTTTCATCTCATTCATCTCATATGCTTTGTTAATTTACTAATGTCTATAAAGTGGGCTTATTAAAGTGTCTTTATGTATTTTATAACTAAAGATGCTACCTTATGGGAGAAATTTCAAATGAGAAATTCTAATGGTAAACTATATGAAAGTAAACTTTCATAGCATCTTTTTTTCTTCCTTCTCTATACTCCTTCTTGGGAATTTGAGGACTACTAAACCAGAGCCTTTGTCTTAAAGAATCTCATTTTTCAGCAGTGACCCCTATTCTCTTCACCTTACAAAAGGCCTTTAATGAATCTAGAATGGAGGCTGTCATCAGGCTAAATGACCCAGAAGGTTTTATTCTGTATTTTTGATACTTTGACATCTTGAGGTCTTGCTCATGGTGGAGACTGACACTTAAAGGGCATCACCATAGACCAGGGAAAGAAGTTACAAGAAAATTTCTATCCACTTTTATTTTGCCATGCTTTGGTCTTAAATTTCTAAAGAAGCATTCAACAAATAAGACATACTTATTACATCTCAGGTACTGGGGTTTTGCCAGGGATCAGAGAAGTACAAGAATATAGTAATAAAATACCATTCCCTACTTAAATTTGGTAACTTACGAAAGACATGTGTAAAGGTCTTGAGAGTGCACAAAGGGGACCTATCTAGCCTAGAGGTTATAGTAAGGTTAAAGTGCAAAGTTAATGAGAAGATGGTTATATTGTCATCCACATGTGTACAAAAGAATGGAGGATCCTAAACTTCAAGGTGCGACCAAGATCACATGTCTGTCTCTATCAGATCAAATACCAGTTTCAGACCCCAGAATGACTGGACATTTACAATTGGTCTTTAAAGATAGTGACTTAAGTTTCCCACTTGGGTCATATGCCATCATCTGTTCTATAGCGGCCATTGGTCCTCATGCTCATCTGGCACCTAGTTTACTTCTAGTCTTGGAGCTTCAGCTTGACTCTGGTAAAGGACGAAGATAGCTCTAGCTGTGTGTAAGGTACAGTCCAGGAACCCTTTAGTAGGTATGGAATCTTACAGACACCATAGAGCCAGTTCCTTGAGAAGGTCTATACAGGCTCTTGGCCCGGCTGTGTTGTATTGAATGACTGTTCAGAGTTAAAATAATCTGAAGACAGTTACTATGCTCAGTTGAAATAAAGGGGCAGAATAACAATTCAGAAATAAATTTTATTGCCTCTACTTATATGAGTACCTAGAGTTCATACAGAAAATGTTGTTCATCAGAGCTACAAGGAGAGGGAAGGAGGCATTACTGTTGTATGGGCATGGTTTCAGTCAAGGAAATTCTATGAATGGATGGTGGTCACAGCAATTGAAAGTAGCACAAGAGGAATGGACTCAGTGCCAAGAACCTTATACTTACAGAAGACTACAGTGCTAAATTGTGTTTCTTTTTGCTACAATGTAAGTAAATTTGTTTAAACTTTATTTCTAAAAAAAATCTCACCTTTAGAAACTATCTGATGTGCTAATTTTCCATTTTAAACAGGATTTCTTTTGTAAAAATGTACTGTATATAGAAAAACCACCTAGTTGTCATGCAATCAATCATAGCTTTTCTTAAGACTTTTACTAATTTTCTCAACTACACCATCAAAGCACATAGCTATTTAAAATGACAAATGAAAAGCAGCATATATTCCATTATAAATCTGAGACAAGATACATGCATTTATCACTTCTTACTTTATTTCTTTGTATTTTGTGGAGTGTATTCAAGTCTGTGGACTCTGATATCCCACCATGTATGACCAGGATTTCATTGTCAATAATTGTACCAATTGGGAGCCAGGTATAGACTTCTTCCAAGATTTGCAAGATTTTTCTTCCATGTAGCTGTAAGTAAGAGCTTGAGTAAGTTTTATTTTCCTTATATGTTCAGTTAAGTGAATAGTCTCAATATACAGACAAAAAACCCTAAGCTTTCCATGCCAAACAAAGGAAGCAGCCAGGGAGCTTATCAACCAACAAGAAAGTATTTATCACGGAAAATTTCATTCTGTATTTTTGACATTTTGACATTTGTGGGCCTTGCTCAGGGAGGAAACCACCCCTCTCAGGCCTAATTCCTAGAGATCTTAAATGACTAATTTCATGTACAAACCAGATATTTCAGATTCCAACCTAAGGAATTCTTTTATTAGACTCTAATGCAGGGCCACTACTCTGGTGTGCTAATCAACCCAGAGCAAGATAGTAGACAACTAGTGATAACCCTCATGCCCCACAGCTGGCTGCCATTGTTCCAACTACTCAGCTTTCAACACTGAAGGTCTTTGCCCTTTCTTTCCTGTGAACCCTAATTAATGTCCTTGTCTGTATTTTCTTCTGCCTCTCCCTGTCGGATTCTGGTAATTGAGGTATCCCCAGTGTGGCATGCTATGCTTCCGGCATGTAAGTAGCTGAATAAAGTTCCTCCATCATATTGGTCATTTCTCTGTTTGCCTGTTGTGCTACACCTGAATAAAAAATTCTGGATGGGTACCTTTAAACCAATGCGATATATTCATAGCTGTGCTGAAACCATTCCAACAGTCATAATGAAAAAGAAAATCTAAGATTCTATCATGGTGAGGGGTTCCTGCTGTGATTATTATTTTATTGGCACAGATTCTAGCTAATTAGCCCATCACCTTTCTAAAAGTAACAATCTGGTCTTCATTAGCTCTTTCCTTTTTCACAGCAAAACAAGTATGAGTCTTACCTTGTATTTATGTAAAATTTCTTTTGTGAAGCCATACCTGAAAAATAGATTTCAAACTATTAATTATTGCAAAAAGGAGAGCCATTGATGTCTCACTATTACCAAATATTAGGAACTCAAGAAACTATAGATCTCAGTTGAAATGCTTAGCAGAGTCTTTCTGGAACATTGTGAGAAAAACAAAAGCAACCAATTTACATGACCTCTATTCTCAAGAAATCTAGAGTATGACCAGGGCAAGAAAATAGATACTTGTGGAACAACTGTGAGACAACTTAACAAATGTGTACTATGGGATATGTAAAGGTTACTAGTATTTTCAGAGGTGTGCAATGACAGTTAGAGGAAGCTGTATGGAGAAGACTTCATCTAGCTAACATTGCTCAGACATCTGATCATTCAAAATGAATCATCAGGAAAAAGAAAACAGTGAAAAAGACAAAGAAAATCACACGAAGTAAGTTGGGTATTCATGCCTTCTCTGACATGGATCATATGAATGAATGACACTAAAGGGTTTAATAGAAAGTATCAGGAATTTTAATGCCTGGCTAACAAAAGCTAAGGGAGATTTTTCAATTACTTTTTCTTAATATAGGATAATATTGTGCACCCTTTTCTTGTAGCCCTTCCTGGACTGGAACTTGCCATGTCAACGAGACTGTCCTTGAATCCACCTGCCTCTGTCTCCTGAGTGTTGGGAGACACATTCAGATAATAATGTATACTCTTAATCCCCAACAGGAAAGTAGGAACAAAGCATACTCATCCTTATTTCCATGCAAACCACATCATGTAAGGTTTCTCCAGTATGATAACTGTAATTTTCAAGATGAATTCCCTCCCTGTACTCACCAAAAGCATCACATTGTTAGACCAACATACATCTTGCCATCTGTGGTGGTTTGAATGAGAATGGCCCCCACAGGCCATATATTTGAATGTTTGGTTCTCAGTTGGTGGACTATATAGGAAAGATTAGGAAGTGTAGCCTTGTTTGAGAAAGTGTTATCACTAAGGGTTGTCTTTGAGGCTTCAGAAACCCAAGCCAGGGTTTGTTTCCCTCCCTCCCTCCCTCCCTCCCTCCCTCCCTCCCTCCCTCCCTCCCTCCCTCCCTCCCTCTCTCTCTCTCTCTCTCTCTCTCTCTCTCTCTCTCTCTGTGTCTCCCCATCAGTCTGTCTCTTTCTATCTCTCTGTTTCTGTGTCTTTCTGTCTTTGTCTCTTTCTCCCTGATGTTTGTGGATAAGATGTAAGCTTTCAGCTACTTCTCCAGCTCCATGCCTGCCAGCCTGCTATCATGGACTCACTCTCTGAAACTATAAGCAAGCCCCCAATTAAATTCCTTCATTTATAAGTTGTCTTGGTCATGGTTTCTAGTTATAGAAATAGAGAAATAACTATGACAACATCCTTACCCTTCTGTCCCTCTGTGCCATCCTTCTAGAAAACTTCCTCCCTTCCATTTTGTGACAGTAGATTTTCAGGGTGCTGTGAAACAACCTCATAAGTTCTTTTCTTCCACAAAACCTTTATTGTTAGAATTCTTTCATTTTCTGTCCTAGGCCATCTGTTACTTCACTTTCTTTGTTAGTACTCTCACCCCTACCCAGCCAGGGTTTCAATTACTATCTAGTGTCAAAATGTAGGATGACAGTCCAGGTTACACTTCATTTTTTATCTTTGGTCCCATACTCAACAATACATCAAATAAACCTACCTCAGACTGAATCCATTTCCATTCAGAATGACACTGTTATACCCTTTAAACTCAAGCCTGCTTTTCCTTGATTAATTCCTCTTTCCAGGCCTCCATATCAAGTTATTGGGTGCTAAACTGTTATTGCCAAAATTCTTAAGTATATGTTTTGGCATCTCCATTGCTATCATGCTAGCCTAAATAAGAAGTTATAATTTCTTCAACTACTTTCTAATTGGACTTCCTATATCCATTCATGGCCTTCTTCCAAGTTACTCTTCTTTTTAAAACAGGTGTAATATTCTTCAATGATATCCTCTCATCCTTAGATACATGTTCATATTCCTTCACAACACTCAACCATCTTTTACATCTCCAGTCCTACCAGGAACTGTTTTAGTTGGGTCTCTATTGCTATGATAAAACACCATGACCAAAAGCAACTTGGAGAGGAAAGGTTGTATTTCAGCTTACATGTCCCAATCACAGTCCATCATGAAGGAAACTAACCCTGGATATGGAGGATCCCTGTTTACTGACTTGCTCCCTATTGCTTGTTCAGCCTTCCTTCCTATAGAACCCAGGAATAGGTTTCTGATGACACCTCTAAATTCTTGTTCTTTATAGCTTTTGCATTTGCTTTTATACCTTGAGAATTAGAATGGAAACTCTGAACTTGAGTCAGGTGTTGAAACTACCCAGAAGACAAAAGTGATTTGCTAAGCTTTGCACACAATATCCAAAAGCCTAAGACCCAGAGCATAAGACATTCCATAACCTCTATTGTTCTAGAACAAATTGATTTCTGTTTTCCATAAAAAGAAAAGAAAAAGAAAGAAGGGAACATTTATCACCTACTGTGCCTTTCAGGCAGAATTCATAAACCATTTAAGCAGTCTTTATCCCTCAAATCTCCAGTGAGTCAGATAGTCCAAATGCTATGTTACAGCTGTTCTAAAAAGTGTTTATGAACAACTATGCCGGAAGCAATTACCAGGACACAAAAAATACACACAGCAATGTAAAACATTATGCTAGCTTCTGAGACAGAATTTGAAGCAAGTCAAGAGAAGCAACAGAAACTTCCCTCTAAGTCTGTTCATACAACCTATAAGACATACAAAGCTGACCTAACATGCCTACTCAGCATGCAGTTTGGACCGTGAAGGGTAAATATGACAGGAAAAAAAGAATTTAATAAAGAGGAAGAGGAAACACAGGGCTGGAAGGAGAGATAAGAGGAGAGTTTCAAAGAAGCTGATACTTAGCTGAAGGGCAGGTTGGTGAACAAGGATGAGAACTTGGAGATTTTCCTTGAGATTCATCTTATCTCTCCTATACAACCGAACCTACACTTATCAGTTCAGAGCTAAACATAGCAGCAATTCCACAGTGAGAAGAAAATTTAAAGTCAATGTTACCTCAGATTCATCATAAAGTCTTCATGGTTCCCCCTATTCAGATGCAGGTCAGTGGGGTAGACAAGAAAACTAACAAGCAGGATCATTAGGATCTCCATGGAATTGTTCCCTCGATCTACAAAATCACCATTAAAAACATATGGATTGTTCTCTGAAGGCAGACCATTCTGGGGAAAGAAAGGGGAGAAAAGAAGAAGTTAAAAGAACATTCTCTTAAAAGTAGGGTTATGTGTTTGTTCCTGCAGAAACAGAAAACAGACCCAGTCATTGCTTTCACTGGGAAGAATCTGCTCACTGGTTTGAGATTCTTCCAGGGCACATATCAGCAAGGGACCTGGAACCAAAGAATAAGCTTGGGACAGGAAGATTTCAGGGAGGATGGGGATTGCTTATTCTGCCTATCACATACCATGAGTTTTTTTTTCTGGCAGGTGCTAGGATTTGTGCCATTGTCAAAAGTAGATACCCTCATACCCTCGTTGGGGAGGAGAAACTGTGAGAAGAATATATTGTATGAAAAAATCCAATAAAAAGAAAACACATAATGTAACTACCAATAAAGTGCATAGTCTTATCTTGCCCTTTTCTCTGAAAAGTGGGAAACTTTTACCCAGGGAAAAACACTAAATTAACAGTTTGAGCATTTTCATTCAAAGGACCCAATATTTAACTTCTATGGGTTGTAATTATCTCAATTTGCAAAGTGGAGATGACAATAGATCCCTTGCTAAATCACCTGTGATAATGGACATGCAAGAACGCAGGCAAGAGGGGGCGTGGTGGTGCATGCCTTTAATCTCAGCACTCTGGAAGCAGAGGCAGGTGGATCTCTGTGAGTTTGAGGCCAGCCTGGTCTGCAGAGTGAATTCCAGGATAGTTAGTTCAAACTGTGTAAGAAAATCTTACTACTTTATTTCAACATTCCACCATTTGTTAGCATTTTAAATCATAAATTTCAGTATGAAATGTAATTTAAAATATTATAGGTTATAACACATGATTTAGGGATTCTAAGAATCATTTATACAGTGTAACATGTTCTGAAGGCAAGTCAAGGAGGGAAGCAGTGGCATATTGTAATGAGATGATTAATATCACAGTCCAGCCCTTCATATAACACAGTTATCTTTGAGAAAGTTTTTTCGTCTGAAAAATGGGAATGAAACCCCTCTTTAATTACCATGCAACAATATTTGGGAACTCAACATTATATGTACAAACAAAACCATGAAAACCATAAATACAAATAAAGATATTCGTTAATTATGATCTTCATGCTATTTCTAATTTTAAGATTGCATTAGTTAACATTTTTAACATTGTTTTTATTTATTCTTTGTGTCTTTCGCATCATGCTTCCTGATCCCATCTTCCTCCTCCCCAGAATAAAACAAAATAAAAATTAAAAGAAAAAAAGGGTGAAGGGAGAGAGGACAAATTTCATCATGGAAGCTGCAGTGTGACACAGTGTGTCATCCAGTAAACTCCTTTATCCATACATTTTTACGTTCAGGTGTTCATCGCGAAGAATAGTTTGTCAGTTTTAAGGCCCCTGGTTTCTGCTACACCATCAACTCTGGACCCTCACTGGGACTCTTCCTGCGCATCCCGTTGCTGCTCTGTGTTGTGGGGATCCTGCAACCCTGGATTCACAGGACCGACCCCACCCTCACCCCACCACCCCTCAGCCTCAGATCACAGATGGGCTGCACGTTGGCGTGGGTCAACACATAACCCTGGTTCTGGGTCTGGGTAGTTGCCGGGTTGGTCAGCCTGCCAGCTCTCCCTTGCCCTCACCACCCAGGTGAGATCTCCAGCATTTGCTCTGGTTAGTTCACCCCTTGAAGCAATGAGCAAGGGGTGTGACCAGTTCTCTAGTTTTCACATCCTCAGGGTAGGATCCCTTACATCTATACCTCGAGGACCAGCACTGCTGTGTTTACCAGGTAGGGGTCACTCTCTCCAGTGCTGCAGCTGATGAGGGGCAGAGAGAGCTCTCTTGCATTTAGGACTTCAGGGCCAGCTGACCTGCCTCAGGCATTGATGGAGGGGGGGTTTGGGGGCTTCTCTCCACAACCCATGCTGCCACATGACAGATGAATAATGGGGGCAGCGCTCCCATGCTCAAAATGGATTAGAGATAACTAAAGAAGAGTTGAAATATATTACTGGCTTGAAAGAACAAACAGAATTTTAAAAAGCAAAAATTATAGAAGTGAGAGCACATGGACCCCAGTCGTAAAGCTGGGGAACCAGCATTGAACTGAACCAAGCCCTGTGAATGTGGGTGCCAGCTAGGAGGCCAGGGCAATCTATGGGGCCTCTAACAGTGGAGCCAGTGTTTATCCCTAGTGCACAAATGGACTTTGGGAGCCCATTCTCTATGGAGGGATACTATTGCAGCCCAGATACACAAAAGAGGAACTAGGCCCTCCCCCAAATGATGTGACAGATTTTGATGATCCCCCATGGTAAGTCTCACCCTCCCTGGGGAGTGGGTGGGTGGTGGAATGGGCAGTTGGTTGGGGGCATTGGAGGATGGGAGGGAGAGGGAACTAGGATTGATATGTAAAATAAGATTGTTTCTAAATTAAATAAATACATTTACTAAAAAATTCATAAAGAATAAGTAGGAGCCATGCATGGTGGTGTATATACCTTGAATCTCAGCATTTGGGTAAGAGATAAAGGCAGGGGTAACAGGAATTCAAGGTCATCCTTGACTACATAGTGAGATCAAGGCCAGCCTAAGAAACATGAGGCCCCTCAAAAAAAGAAAAAGAAACAAAAGCAAAATATACACAAAGGAGTGAAAAAGTAGGAGCAAAGGAAAGAAAGTGAGGCAGGGAGAGAGAGAGAGAGAACTAAAAATCCAAGAAACTAATGGACTAATAATAGGCATTCCATGTTGGGGAAGGAGAGAACAGATGGAGAAGAAATAACTAAAATAATACTAAAAGGAATTTTCTATGGCTAAAAGACTTCAGGAGCTAGAGCAATGGCTCAGTGGTTCAGAGAGCTTGTTGCTCTTGCAGAGGATCCATGAGCACCCACATTGGGAGTCTCAAACCACCTGTAACTCCAGAGGAGGATAATTCAATGCCTTCTTCTGACCTTTATAGGTGTCCATATTCATGTGCATGCACACATGTTTGCAGAGACACAAACATACCAATTAAAAATAAAAAATTTTAAAAGGAAATCTCAGTTTGATGTTTGAAAGAGCTAATTACTCTTAGGCATAATGAGGGAGAAATCTCATTACTTGTTAAAGGTTTTAGAGATGTCAAACAGAAAAACAATAACAAAGGGGAAAGAAAGACTAAGCCTGGTATTATACTTATCATCCGAAGCAGAGGAAGGCAAAAGATGGTAGTGCTGTTTAACGTTTTAGTCTTTCACTTTTTGGCTTTTTGAGGGGGGGCACCACCTAGCTCCCAAAAAGCTCACACATGGAGGCTTATCATTACTTATGAGTACCCACTCTTAGCTTGGCTTGTTTCTAGCTACCTTTTCTTATCTTAAATTAACCTGTCTACCTTCTCCTCTGGGTTTTTAATCTCTCTCTTCTGTACATCTTTCTTTCACTCTGTGGCTCGCTGGGTGGCTGGGTGGCTGGGTGGCTGGGTGGCTGGGTGGCTGGGTGGCTGGGTGGCTGGGTGGCTGGGTGGCTGGGTGGCTGGGTGGCTGGCCCCTGAGGTCCTCCTCTCTTTGTTCTCTCATTGCTTCTTGTCTTTATCCTCATTTCTCCTTCTGTTTATTCTTTCTGCCTGCCAGCCCCTCCTGCCCTTGCTCCTGCCTCACTATTGGCCGTTCAGCTCTTTATTAGACCATCAAGTGTTTTAGGCAGGCAAAGAATCACAGCTTCACCAAGTTGAACAAATGCGGCATAAATAAAAGTCACACACCTGAAAATAATATTCTACTTCATGGTAGAATACAATCTACAAATTAAAGACAAAAAAAGGACTATGAAACAAGAATTCTATATCAACAAAGACATCATTAACATCTAAGAAGAGCAGAAAAATATTTACAGATATGTGAGGGTTCAAAGATTCTTCAGGGTAGAAGGTAAATGTGTAGTAGTTTAGTACCACAAAAGCAATGAGCATGTATACATGCAAATCAAGCAGTTTCAGGTGTAAGGAACAAACAAAAATAATACAAAGCCACTATATTCAATGAGCTTAGAGATAACCCTCATATGTCATCAAAGAAAAGCATTCAACAAAATGCAACAATATCAAATAAAATGTCTTCAAGCTCAGGAAAGAGTAAGAGGAAAGAACACTCTTGTGGAATAATCTTTTTGTACACTGTGAAAATGTGTCTTTGCAAAAGTACCTGGTGATTGATTTAATAAAGAGCTAAATTGCCAATACCTAGGCACAAAAAGAGGTTAGGTAGGACTTCTGGGGACAGAGAGGTCTCAGAAGAATGAAAAAAGTATAGTCACCAGCGAATGCAGAGGAAGGACATGTAGGAGGAGAGGTAAAAGCCACAAGCTACATGGTAGCACATAGATAAATAGAAATAGCTTAATTTAAGTTATATGAACTAGTTAGAAACAAGACTAAGCTAAGGTCAAGCTTTCATAATTGATAAGTCTCCATGTGCTTATTTCAGAACTGGCAGGCAGGACTGAGAAAGACTATTACACATGGCACTCAATGTCTGGCCATGTATATCCACATATGACCTAAGAAAGATTAAAAGTAAGTTTGGAACACAATGCCAAATGAGGCTTCCTTGTGACGAGGTCTTTTGGACAGGTTTGGCGTACAGAGACACAGCTACTGGCCACTGCCTGTGGGCTTGAACCAGCACCGTGTTCTAAGCTGAACAGTGCCTCAGCTGACATGATAGTTTAATATTTGTCTCACATGGTCAGAAAACATTGCAGGTGCTCAGTAAAGACAGATCCAGACGGAAAAAAATAAAAACCTCTAAACAGGTTACAGTGTGTTTAAAAATGTGCATAGGCTTAAACAAAGAAAAGAAAATGGGTATAAACAGTTATAGAAAAGATAGCTTATAAATAATAAGATAAAATATTTAAGGAGAGAATAAAGTAATATCAAAAACGATAAGCCACGTAAAGATGGAAAATATACAGAGAATCTGGACAGTATGGTGTCTTGTTGACTTTGAATTTTTTGATTGT